GATAGGTGGAAATTCCAAAAATTTTGTTACCTTTTCCTGTGGGCATGGCTAGGTAGGGGAGTCATGTGACTGAGTGGCAGTGGGCATGAGTGATGTCAAGTTGACCACACATGGCCCTCCACCTAGCCACACCCACCAAACCGGTAGCAAACATTTTTGAAACCACCACTGCTGCAGAGGCCTAAAACGTGATGTGCAGGGGTGGCAATCAGTGGCAATGTCCTTTGGTGATCCCTGCAGCCTTGAACAGCTCTCAAACAGAGCATTTGGAGGCTGAAAATGCAAGGTGTGGAACCAAAAAATGCAAGCCATTGTAGCAATCTCTGCAGCAAGGAAGAGAATGTGCAGAGGCTGAAGGGTGCGGGCTGGCAGGTGTATAGAAGTATAAGATGCACCCAAATTTTCAGCCTCCTTTAGGGGGAAAAGTGCATCTTATACTCCAAAAAATACAGTAAATATGATATGATATATGATATCATTCTGACTGGACTCTGACTGGGTAGATTCCAGCAGGGTGGCTGAGGTGGGTCTTGAGAATGTTATCTGGGATGAGTTTGATCCTATGACTCCTAAGGACATGGACAGGATTCTGGGGAGGTTAAACACAACCACATGTTTACTGGACCCGTGTCCCTCCTGGCTGGTACTGGCTACCTGGGAGGTTATGCGAAGCTGGCTCCATAAATGCTTCTCTGGGGGAGGGTTTCCTGCCACCTGCCTTGAAAGAGGTGGTGATGAGGCCTCTCCTTAAGAAGCCTTCTCTGGACCTGGCTGTTATGGCTAACTACCGTCCTGTCTCCAACCTTCGCTTTATTGCGAAGGTTGTTTAGAGTGTGGTTGCACAACAGCTCCCGCAGTACCTGGATGAAACCGTCTATCTAGACCCGTGCCAGTCCGGATTCAGGCCTGGGTACAGCACGGAAACGGCATTGGTCGCGTTGGTTGATGATCTCTGGAGGGCTCGGGACAGGGTCCTCTGTTCTGGTCCTATTAGATCTCTCAGCGGCTTTTGATACCATCAACCATGGTATCATGCTGCACCGGCTGGAGGGATTGTGGGTGGGAGGCACCGTATTGTGGTGGTTCTCCTCCTATGTCTCCGACCGGTCGGAGTCTGTGTTGGCAGGGGGGCAGAGGTCGACCTCAAGGTGCCTTGTTTGTGGGGTGCCATAAGGGTCGGTCTTCTCGCCATTCCTGTTCAACATTTATGTGAAGCCGCTGGGTGAGATCATCCGTGGATTTGGGGTGTGGTGCCATCTGTACGCTGATGACACTCAGCTGTACATCTCCACCGCAAACCACCCCAACGATGCCCTTGAAGTGATGTCCCAGTGTCTGGAGGCCGTGTGGGTCTGGATGGGGAGAAACAGGCTTCGACTCAACCCTTCCAAGACCAAGTGGCTGTGGATGCTGGCATCCCGATATAGCCAGCTGGTGCCATCGCTGGCTATTGGGGGCGAGTCATTGACCCCCACAGAGGGGGCTCACAACTTGGGTGTCCTCCTGGACACATTGCTGTCTTTAGAAGAGCACATGATGGCCGTGGCCAGGGGGGCTTTTTATCAGGTTCGCCTGATACGCCGGTTGCTCCCCTTTCTGAGTCGGGATTCCTTATGCACAGTCACTCATGCTCTCATCACTTCTCGCCTGGACTACTGCAACACTCTCTACATGGGGCTCCCCTTGAGGAGCACCCAGAGGCTCCAACTGGTCCAGAATGCGGCTGCGCGGGTGATTACAGGAGCGACATGGTGCTCCCATATAACACCTCTCCTGCGCGAGCTGCACTGGCTCCCGGTGGTCTTCCGGGTGCGCTTCAAGGTGTTGGTTCTCACCTTTAAAGCACTCCATGGCTTAGGGCCAGGTTATTTACGAGACCACCTTCTGCTACTGATAACCTCCCACCGGCCAATACGCTCTCACAGAGAGGGTCTCCTCAGGGTGCCGTTGGTCAAGCAATGTTGGCTGGCGACCCCCAGGGGGAGAGCCTTCTCTGTGGGAGCACCCGCCCTCTGGAACGAGCTACCTCCTGGAATATGGCTGATCCCGGATTTCCACACTTTCCGTAAGGCCCTTTATTTCAGCAAGCCAGCCTGGCCTGAATAGGTTTTATGGGTTAGTTTTTAATTGTATAGCTTGGGTTTTTAAATTGGGAGGCTGATTAATTTAATTTATTTTTAGTTATCTTAACTTTTATATTGTATGTTATTTTAATTTTTGGCTGTTCACCGCCCTAAGTCCCTTCGGGGAGAAGGGCGGTATATAAATTCAAATAATAATAATAATAATAATAATAATAATAATAATAATAATAATAATAATAATAACAATAACAATAACAATAACAATAACAATAACAATAACAATAATAATAATAATAACAATAATAATAATAATAATAATATCATTATGATATGTTATAATATAATATTACCTTGTTTGTATTTACAATAAGAGCTTGTGCAGTGGAGATAAATTCCTTGTGTGTCCAATCACAACTGGTCAAATATATTTATCCTATCCTATCCTATTCTATAAGTGCAAGGGTCAAGTTCTATCAAAAATAGCCATCTTGTTCTTCTTAGTGATAAGATCATCCCAGTTACAGATGTTTATAAAATGATTTTTAATAGACCATATTAATGCATTCTAGAGTAGTTTACAATCCGTCCTCTAAGTATGATTTTCAGCTACCCAAAATTTTTAGTAAAGGAAAATGGATGAAGGAAGACCTGCTGGTTCAAAGTATTAGATTGTGTATGATCTGCTGTGAAGAAATAATATTGAAAGAAGTGAAAATAACTTTGGAAAAACATATATCCTTCCAATTTATGCAAAAGAGAGTTGGGTTTGTTCAGAAAAAACACAAAAGAAAATTGAATGTGGCATTATTGGTGACCTCCATGTATTTGCTTGCAAACTGGTAACATCATCAGTACATATACACCTACATTTAAGACTTTATTCTAGATATCCAGATACCCACAAATAATATTAATAGAATATACTGAATTGTGGAGCTTCTAGATAAATATTGACCTCATATTTTGCATCTATAAGTCCTAGAATTTCTCATGAATTCTACCAACCAATGAAATAATATCAGGGATTTAAATAGAAAAAATATGCAGGATACAACCTGGGTCAGTCATTAGAGCCAGAGGTTTTGTCTGGCTACATACAACAGCCACAATATAAATACTACACAGAGAATAGCCCAGAGCACACAGATTCCCTGTGAATAGGCTCCAGCATGAGTTCAAAAGTTCAGAAGACAAAACCTCTGGTCCTGGGACCAACCCAGATTGGATCCTACAACATTATCCTGAGACACATATATTTCCCTTCATTCATGAGAAAAAAAATACGAATCGGACCTCAGACTATCAAAGATAACAAATAAAGTGTCATACTTTCATATCAAAGGAGTAAAATTAGAAAGAGATTTTTGGAGGTTACTAAAAAATGTAATTCACAATGTATAGCCAACCTTATCTACTTACCTAGTACACTGGTATGCTTAATATTTTCAGAGTTTCTAATTATTTTGCAGAGAATATATGTTTTATAAATCTGAATGTTTTCTAAATTAATTGATGCTATATTGTATGAATTCTGGGATGAATGCTTGATTTTTTCAGGCATTTCTCTCTTTTGTCTAGAAAGAAGTGGACATGATGTAAGAACTGTTTTGTACCTTAAATTACATGAATGTAACACATCGAAAAAGTGAGCATACACTATGATTTCAAATATATTACTATAAATCAATACACATATTGATATATACTGTTGGTAAAATGTTTGTGGTAAATTTTATTACTTCTACTATTAGTTTCTGTTTTGATTTTTTCTGTAATAGTTTATTGTAATTGATCTTTACACAACAGGAAAACAACTAAAATAAAAATAAAGCAACAGTTATAATACATTTTTCTCCATTGCCATATTTCATGAAGTTTATAACATAACATAACATAACATAACATAACATAACATAACATAACATAACATAACATAACATAACATAACATAACATAACATAACATAACTATTATTTATTATTATTAGCATTTCTATATATTTTTCTATTCCCAGTATGTATTGTCTGGATCAAGGGAATTTGTATTTTCTTCAGCAAAGAAAGAACTGCATTAATTTTCACCATTAAATGTTTAACCCTTTTAGCCAGGGTTACCATTATATTGACCTGCTTACTTTTCATCTTTAACTCTTAGCCTAAAAATGAAAATTAAAAAAAAATCTGCAAGAAGCTGAAGAATTTTAGTTTATAAATTAAATATCACTTTGGCTTTAATTCTTACTAGCATATGAACAATGAAAAGTTGATTTTTTGGAAGAGTTAGTTTTATTGGATGTGTTATGGCGTTGTGCATTATGCGATATTGTTCTGAATAAGATACAAAACATAGTTCATATTAATTAAAAAAAACATTCATGAATTTTAATGATGCTTTCTTCCAGGAAACTGATAGTCAATGAGAAGGAGTAAGAACATGAGAAACATGTTGTTACTATATTGTTATATTATATTGTTTATTTATTTATTTTCTTACTTAGTATATTTGATAGAAACAGTTATGCAGTAATGAATATAAAGAAAAAAAACATTTTTTTTTTCAAATTGTATTAAAATATATACATTTGACTCGTAAGAATTACATTTTTATGGTTTACAGTTTTATGTTTTATAATTTGTTGTGAAGCATCCTTTGGATTTTTAAGAATGCTATCAAAATTTGTATTTATCATTATACTTTATTTTATTTACAATGGCTTTCTGGCTCTCCTCCATGTCATTCTTATCCTGCTTCCTTCTAGATCTTAGAACTGTGTCAGTGAAAAGAAAGTCTCTTCTAAGCATTTGGTAGCATTCTAGCTTTCTAAATATATATAACTGTCATATATTTGCCTTCATGTGCACCAAGAAGATGGAAAGATACAATCAAAATATGCTAAATCTACTGAGAAAAAAAATATACCACTTCCATATAGGTTTCTAAGTGGTCTTTTCAGAGCAGAATGAAGCAGTCCTGAAGTCTAAGACAGGGCTATTTTTGAAAAGTGTCGGCATAAGTGATATAACCTATGAGAAGCTTTTATGTCTTAGAATTCTCCTCAGTGCTCCTCTCACTTCATGGTTCCTCAGAGCATAGATAATGGGGTTTAGCATGGGAGTAAGCACTGCATAGAACAGAGATAATATCTTTTTAAGTTCTGGTGAATAGGTGGAATTGGGCCTTAGATAAACAATGCTCCCACTTCCATAGAATAATATCACCACAATTAGATGAGATGAGCACGTAGAGAAGGCTTTTTGCCTGCCTACAGTTGAAGGCATTGTGATGATGGTGATGATGATGCGGGTGTAGGAAATCAAAATCAGTACAAAAGGAAACATAAGGAATACAAGTGTAGAGACTATGGCTTGCATTTCAAAAAGAGAGGTATCCGCACAGACTAACTTCAGCACAGGAGGGGCATCACAGAAGAAGTGATTAATCTTTTTCATGCCACAGAATGGAAGGCTGAAGATCCAGGCTGCCTGCAACAATGAGACAGGAATACCAATCAGCCAAACTCCACCAACTAACTTCAGACAGAAGTGCCTGCTCATAATATTGGCGTAGTATAATGGGTTGCAGATGGCAACATAACGGTCATAAGACATGGCAGCTAAGAGGAAACACTCAGCACATCCAAAGTAGAAGAAACAAAACATTTGAATTGCACAACCTGTGTAGGAGATAGTTTTATTTCTCAGCAGTAGGTTAACTAACATTTTGGGGATTGTATCTAAAGTGAAGCATATCTCAATGAAGGATAAATTCCTTAGGAAGAAGTACATAGGTGACTGAAGGGCTGGATCTTTTATAGCTATAAATATGATAAGGATGTTTCCAGTCATTGTAACAAAGTACATCACCAGGACTATTGGAAATAGAACCAATTCAATATTTGGCATGCTGGAAAATCCAAGGAGGATGAATTCTACTTGAAATGTTTCATTTTTCCACTTCATTTCTTCCAGATGATTTTATAGGATTAGATACTAAGAGAAAAGAAATAAACATTCAAAATAGATTTTTAATATATATATATAATGAAATTACAATATATTTTCAGACTCAATCTGGCTAACAAACTTATTTTTGTAAGAATATTTCAATCTTCAAATCTCCTTTAAATTTCCTATCTCTCATTTTTTGTTATATAACATTCTCATTATACTTAATTATTTTATTTACCCAATGTGTCATTTAAATTTCTCATATTTGTAATATATTGCTGTAGTCCCAAAATAATTTTGCAGTCCAGCATTAATATGATTTGTACAATGAATTAAGACTTTTAGAAATACTATAGACTATATAATATTTTTAAATACTATAATACTATAGTATTTAGAAATAATACTACAGTAATACTATCTTATAATAATGCTATAATAATATTTCTTATAATATAAGATAATTTTATAGTATTATTTTATAATATTATAAGATATAGTATTATTATAGAACTTCATCTATAAAATTGTGAAAGAAATTATGTGAAATAATAAATATATTCTTATTTATTCTTATTCTTAAAATATATCTTTAAATTATTTAATTTAATTTAAATATTTAAATTTTTATTTAATTTATATGTGTGTGTGTATAATAAATTTAACTATTGAATTAAAAATTTAAAAATAGATTCTTAAAATATAAATTATTCTTGAGTTAAATTCATCTTGATTCTGGATACTTTATACAAAATATTTAGAAGAATTTTGGACAATCTAGCCAAATAATTATTATTTACACTGAAAGCAATAAGAGCAATACAAAATTTAGTTTTTTCCTGTTCTTGCTTAATTGGTTTAATACTTACATGGGACGTACCTAAATTTGTATTATTATTTCTCTTCCTATGTTGCAATTTTATAGATACTGTTTTGGTTTTGAAAAAAAAAATGTTTGAAAAAATATCCCACTGAGCCAAGAAAGCTTGAAACAGTTCCAAGACTTTTGGTACTTCTCTTCTGCACTGCACTGTCTAAAACATACACTTAATTTATTTAATAAATTAATTAACAACAGTTTCTCATGCATTCTCCAGGTGACTTTCAGGATGTTTTTATGAAAAAAAATCTAGTTATAAATATTTTCCACAGTATAATTTGATGCATTAAACTATAAGAATTGCCTTATAGGAAAGATCGGAGACATAAAAATGTTAGTAAATAAACAAACAAACAAATAATTTACTTATTAAAATGTTTTACCATTGATCATAACAATTGAGTATAACATAAAATACAGTAAAGCAAAATAACAGTACAATAAAGCAATAAAAGAGTGTCGGTTACAAAAAGACCAGGATAAATATGAGAGAGAGAGAGATGATAGAGCTACAATTAACAACATAACCTTTATTTTTAATTTTAAATAATGACAAATGTAGCAATCTAATTAGTGATAATAGGAAACATATCTGCAAGAAAATAATTACTCAAGTCTGAGGCCTTGAATTCACCTACCATCAATAATTTGTCATTGGTCTCATTTTTTATTTATTTTTATTTATTTGAAAGTTTTATATAGCTGCCAATATAGGCTACCAATCGAAGAAACTTAGTGGAGAACATAGCAAATAATGTCCTCCATTTGACTAGCCCTATAAGAACAGAGACACTGTTCAAGAGATCAAAATCTACCTTCAAGATATGTTGCTCTATAAAAGCATATCTGAGTGGGACATTGGCAATATTAATATGATACTGGGAGAGGCGTTTATTTATTATGATAAAACAAACATGAAAATGTAGATGACTCTATGTAGCAACATCATAATTGGCACCTTTTTCAAGAAGCTGTCTCCTTAGTCAGGTATATAATGGTAGTAATTTAAGTATACCATGACTAAGGGGGAAAATGTTTTAGACAAAATTGTTTTAAATACTCTTGTATTAATGCATTAATAAAAAAACTTTTATGAATGGTAAAATATGCAGTAGTCTTTTGTCCATGGAATTTACTGCCTATTTATTTCATTGGATGTTTGCCTAAATCTTTGGACTTAGGCAAATATACTCTGACAGCTTACCTGATCTTGTTAAAAAACAATGTAGATTTGGAATACATTTTCTTACTCACTACATTCTGAGAGTTAGTAATACACAGCCAAATAAAACTGAAAGGATATAATCTCCATTGAAACCAAATGCTTAAAACATAAAACCCCAATGTAAAATAAAAGAAAACACTGATTTCATCACTGCATAAAACTTTTTCTATTCCCACACCACTAGTGAAATTAATGTTTTAAAAATGATGATCTTGTAATGAGACTCACCTCTTTTACATCACTTAGAAGTGTGGAAGAGGGTAAAATCAAGAAAAATAAATATCTCTTGGATGATTAGGAAGCCTGTAATTCTTGATTTCTTCTGTGAATGTTTAAAAAAATATAAAAGAACCCCATATTATAAAATACTTTTTAAAAAATTAAATATGTATAGGTATATATACACATAAATCTATTTCCATACTCTGGAATTAAAATATCTGACAAACGAATATCCAATTCTTTCCTTAGCTAGGTTTGAACTTTTAGCTAGGTTTGAATTAAGCTAATTTTTTATGAAGACATATCTACAGTTACTCACTTCTGTGTAAGTTATTTTTAAGTTATAGCATTATAATGCCTTTCTCTCTGATTTTTTTTTTCGATTTGAAATTTGCTTTGGTAATTATGACATCCCCCCCCAAAAAAAGGCTCTTAATAGCTTAATCCCCAAACAACATACAACCCTAGAGAATAAAATGAATAAATGGAAGTAGCATAACTAAAATCTGTCTTCTAAATCAAAGATATATTTATTATTTGAGTAGTATTCTAAAAGTGCAGTTCAACAAAGACAAAGATATAGGTGCTACCAAAACAAAACAAAAAATAATTTGATTTAAATTACTTGAATGATTGATTGCTCACTATGTATTTGATCCATTTCCCCCTTTTTAAAAATTCTGGTGACAATTTTTGGAAAGACTTTGGAGTCTACACTCAAAAAGTTTTGGGAATTATATACATCATAACATTAAGGAAGGAAGTGGTGATAGATGATAAGACAGAGAAAGAGGCTTTCTGTCACTTTGGTGAAACATTCTTTTGTAAAGGGTGCAGCTTTTACTCTTGGAATCTTCTTTGATTTTTTTGGATTAAAACTATGAGCCATTTATTTTTTCCATTTTTGACTTTCTCAGTGCAAAAAAGTATCTAGAACAGTGATGGCGAACCTTTTCAGCACAGAAAGGGAGCGCACGAAAAGGGAGCGCACGCACATTGGAGGGGCACCAAGTGCCAAAAAGGGAGCATTTTGCGTGTACACGCTCATCAGGGCTGCAACCAGGAAGAAGAGCTCCCCAGGGAGCATATGTGTGCCAGATAAGGTACTTCCGGTTTCCGGTGCACGTATGTGCAAGTCTTCTGGTTACTGCTGTGCATGCGCATGAGCAGATCAGCTGGCCGGTGTGCATGCTCAAAGGCCAGCTGATTGTCACGCACGCATGCACTTCAGAAACCTGGAAGAGGAACAGGTGACACTGCATGTGCCAGGTAACATGGCTCCACATGCCACTTTGGACATGCGTGCCACAGGTTCACCATCGTGGATCTAGAACAATAGTTGTATATCTACAACTATTATAGTATAGTATAATATACTATATATACAAGATATATTTTGCACTATTGTGTGTCCTTTTTTCATCCATGACACAATTTAGGAGAAATAGAGCTTGCTCCAAAAAGGTTCAATTTCTTAAATTTTTAAAAGAAAATCAAGGTAATAACAGTATCCTTGATATTTCTGCTCCAGATGAATGAGTTTCTGACTCACTGCTGTCATGGTCCTCTCACTAAACAATGGGAGGGAGCAAAAATAAAATAGAAGGTTCAGAAAGCCACCCATTTAGTGATAAATGATGTGCTGGATGTCAAGCAGCAGTATCCTAGATAATGGAGACCAAAATCATGATGCAAACCAGAACCCTGGGAGTAGCCTGTTAAATGCTAAGTGTATAGTGAGGATGGCCTCTTTAGAATCATTGTGAATCTACTGGCATCACTTAGATTAGCCGTTTGTCAGTCAGCTGGCTTTTACTAAGTAGTTTTGTGCAAAAAATGCCATAGCTTCCAGAAATAACTGGTTATTACCCTTTCAACATGGCCACAACAAGCTTTAGAACACATTTGGCTCTCTGACACACTACCTATATTGAGAGTGTGATTTCCAGTAAGATGAGAAATGGGCCTATCCAATTAGGGGGAATCATCATATGCCTTGAAAAGCATCAAACATCAATTCACTTGCTTTAATAAAAATATATTTTGAAGATATGTGAAGACATTTTGAACCCAACATTCCACCTGTATATCAGTCCAGGAAAGTAGTATGGCTGCTCCATGTCACTGTTAGTGGGGAAGCCATTTGACTTTCTGTTTTATATTTATAGGATAAATTTGACCAAGAGTAAATTAAACAACTTTTCATGCTCCAAGTTTTTCTTCTGTTTACAACATTATGGTCTGAATCCTTCTGAAAATGACTTTCCTTGTTTGAGAAAGTTTTTTCCCCCTTTAAAAGTTAATGATTTTCAAGCAGCTAAATCCCTAAGGGCAATAGAAAAATAATGAGATTGGACTCCTCAAAGGATTTAATTTCTCAAATGAACTATAGAAAATAATACGCCAACTGTCCTATTTCATCTACATAGAACATGCAGATAATTCAGTTATCCATTTCTCATTTTTCTTGTTAACCACTTCTTTGGGACTTTTAGTAATACCCATTAAAGGTATTGTACTTCTTTTTTACTTTGATATTTCTATTGTTATTTTCATATGTGCTTGTATGTATATTATGTGAACATGTATATCTCCAAATGGACCAACACATTTGCTGATGTATTTTAAAGACCAAAACAGACCAAAGCTGATTTAGCAGAAGGCATATATACCAAAGCATCTGGAAGGTTTTTACATGATTAGGAGATGAATAATGGTACAGGCATTGACAAAATGCTTTCTTCTTCTTGCAATGCACACTAGTAAATTCCAGATAAGCAACTGAGCTCCTTTTCAAAAAATCCTTTTTCTTTGTAACTGCAGTGTGAAGTTGGAGAGGTAATATCTTGACATTATAATTCCAGATATCATGGATGTGATTGTTATATAAATAAATATTTATACTTGATAGATATTCAATGCTTGCTTATTGGTTATATAAATGGAATATATATACGGATTCCAAGGTGGGAAGAGTTAACTTATTTCTATGCATTATATGTAATGGCATCTGTATGGAGTAGGAAATATTAAGAATGCTAAACAAAGCTAGCCACATACTCTTATAGTTTGTATATACACTATGTCAGGGTTCCCGCCAATGCCCTAATAAAATTGGGAGCCTCAAGCCAAACATTCAATATGAACAGGAGAACATGTTTGACTTCATAGATACATATACACTAACAGTATCACCCTCTTTATTCTGAAAAGAAGGTTGAAGTCTTACAACTACTCAAAACAAGAACATAGCACACAGGAATTTTCTCCAACAAAGAGAATGCTTACAAAAAAATTCAACTTTCCTCCTCCTCCTCTTCCTATTTATTAAAAATTAAATATTTTGAATAAATATTTCTTTTTGTACCACAATAAAATGAATCATGCATATTTACAAAATAAACTTGATTTATGGATCAAGTGAACCTCTTCCAACAAAATGTGTTGACTATATTTAGTACTCTTTTTGATAGAATTGTACAAAGTATTTGAAAATACTATATGTAAAGCATATATAAGTAAAGTGTTTCTTTGCAAAATGTTAAAGGAGCAATATCTTTTAGAAAGGTTTTCCCAGAAGTTTACAAATGTAAATGCACATACACTTGACTTCACTTAAATGCACATACACTTGACTTCACGTGATAAGTTTGATGTCTATATATATATGTATATGAAGATAACTCGAAAGAGCCCCTGAAATCACACAAGCTTTCTCCCCAAAAACGCTTACAATACCATTTCAAAGGAAAGGACTTCAACCATGATTACATGCTTTGCAAAACATTCTTTTAAGATAGATTTTATTCTAATGCACTAGTTTCAATGTGTTTTTCTGATTGCAATCAAAAGTGATAGAGAACAATTTACCCACTGAAATTTATGCACAGATAAATTGATGGAGTAGCAGGTCTAAGCAAAGCCATAGTCTTCTGCATGTTTACAGGATCTTCCTTGTAACTTGGCAACATTGTGATAAACTATGCTATTTTGGAGTAGAGTATATATGTGTGATTATATGTCTCTATACAATTGTAAAATACTATGTGCATAGAACACCTGCTTGCTATACAAATTAGGAAAGTATTCTTTGATAAAAATTTTATTTGTCTAGAAATCAGTAGGAACCTGTTTACACAAAAGAAAAAAGCAGGAACCATCTAGAAAAAAAGATAAAACAACAATAATAGTAGGTCTTTGGGAAGGATTCAGTAAGCGGATAAAAATGTCAAATCCAGAATCTGGCTGAGCACAACCAATCACCATTTAAAAAAATAATAATAATTGGAAAGCAAAATATGTTATAATTTATAAGCTATAAAGGATATGTATTTAAAATTTGAGTTATTCCCAAATTTCAACTTTAAAAAATATTTGAATTTATATAATGTTCTGATGAAACCTAGTTTCTTCTATGATTAAGGCAAACATAAGCTCATTGCAACAGAAAGGAGTATATTGGACAGAACTGAGAAATAGCAAATTAGAAAGTAAGATAAATGTTTGTGAGATGAGAAGCAATGACTTTTTGTGTGGGAAGATGAGATCATGGCAGTGTCGGAAGGGAAAGGTTAGAATAGGAAATTGGACCCAATACCTTCTTCTTAAACTATAGGATATAGCACCAACTTCATCATGAACAGAGAGCTGGCTGAAAGAAGAGTTTCCTGATGATTGATTTATTTATATTTTTCCAGATACCAAGTAAAGATGTGGGGCTCAAATAGAACCATGGTGAATGAGTTCATTCTTCTTGGCTTTACCAATCATCCTACACTACAGCGTCTTTTCATTGTGGTATGCCTTATCATGGCTCTGGCCACAGTAATTGGAAATAGCCTCATTATCTTCCTGGTTTGGAATGACTCACATCTCCACACAGCTATGTATTTTTTTATTGGTAATCTCTCTTTGCTGGACATACTTTTCACAATTATCACTGTCCCTCAGATGCTTGTACATCTAGCTTCTGGGGTTAATATAATTTCATTCAATAGATGCATGGCCCAACTTAACCTGAGCATCTCCTGTGGAATGACTGAGTGCTTCATTCTGGCTTTCATGGCCTATGACCGCTATGTTGCAATATGTCAGCCTCTA